TTGAATCGAATCATTGACATGATAATTGTAATCAAATCGAATTGTGAAACCAGTGAAGATTCATACCCCTACTAAAAATGTACATTTTCAGATGATTCACATTGTACAGTTTCATCTGAAATCAACATATTATCATTTTTCTGTGAAATCTGGTTGGCCATAATTTATTTTTGTTATTTACTTACTCTTATGACATACCAAGCTTGTATGGCTTTCTTTGTTTTTTGCACTGGTTGCTGTTTTCAATGCAATTATAATGAATGTGGACTGGAACTTTTAAGCTTTAAAATGGATTATAAAGTATCAGAAATGTCCCATATGATATGCCATATTAAAAAAAAAAACACTAAAGACCTTTCCACACTGAGCGCTATGCGAAAAAGCGAGGCGTATCGTCGAGCGGTGCTTTCACACCGAGCACGAAATGATTGTTCGCCTTCTGCTAATTCACGTCTGCACGCTAGGTGGCGCTGAACAACAATGCCTTTTTCCTCAGATATGTATCTCGTATATGGATTTAACATCTAAATTAAGATAAAGTTTGGTTCTACACCAGAAACACAAACTATCTATAATGCTTACAAGAATAGGCTACATCCTAAAATATAATTAGAAGTACAATTATCATCAAGCAACACTTGAAAATGTATTTCAGTGGGCAATTAATAGAAATGTTATTCTGAATAAAGAACATGTGAGAATAAATCTGTTCTCAAATACCAACGATAACAAGAACTCAGCATCCACTCTCTTCTCTTATACGGGATAACTCTTCTACGGTGTTTGTTTTCACTGGTTTTCGAAACGGCGCCACCATTCTCACCCTTCAACAGCAGCTGCTCTGGTCATATGATCCTAGCTCAAATCTTATTGGACGGCACGTGTTTTCGCTTTGCGAAACTGAAAAGATTTGTCTGGCATTTTCGGTTGCGAATGTTCACTTCTATGTGGAAGCATCCATAGAAATGTATTTATTCCGGCGCGTCTAACTCTTCTACGGTGTTTGTTTTCACTGGTTTTCGAAACGGCGCCACCATTCTCACCCTTCAACAGCAGCTGCTCTGGTCATATGATCCTAGCTCAAATCTTATTGGACGGCACGTGTTTTCGCTTTGCGAAACTGAAAAGATTTGTCGGACTGGTGCGAAAAAAAACATTCGCATTTTCGGTTGCGAATGTTCACTTCTATGTGGAAGCATCCATAGAAATGTATTTATTCCGGCGCGTCATCGCATCCGATATTCGTTTCGCATTTTCGCGCTCAGTGTGGAAAGGCCTTAAGGTTGTGTGAGGAACATATGGAAGTCATTGTTCACTGATCATTTTCTCCTCCATATTATTTGTTGTGATTCATTGAGAGAGCTGAACTGACCATATCAGTCAGATTTGTGAACGAATCATTCACATTTTGTGAACTGGATTAGCCAATTCATTAAAGAGATCTGACTTGAAAAACAATCAATTCACAATTTAGACATTGCTGCTTCCTGGATGAATACATCAGAGGACGGATATCAAGATTTTCAGTTAATAATTGCCTAAATGGGTCTGTTCCAGAACAGTCCTATAAAATGTACCTTTTATGTTTCACTGCGGAAAGATAGTCGTTTGGGTTTGGAACAGCATGAGGATGAGTAAATGTTGACAGAATTTTCATTTTTGGGTGAACTATCCCTTTAATTAAAGCCGTAATAAGTGATCTCATACGCATTAACTGGTGGCTGTGAAAATGTGAAATCTTTATATTCTACCTTTTCTCATTTTTTTTTCTCTCTGTTTCTCTCTCCTCTAAGATTATGTGTGGGAGAGGGATGATAAGCCATTTAAAGAGATCACAAGAGCACTCTCTCTCTTTCGCCCCTTTGCCTTTTTAACACACACACACACACAAAATAAAGTCTATTAACCTCTCAAATGCTACTGTTCCTGATGGGATTTAGGCCTTCCAGTGTCTGAATTTGGCATGCAATTCATCATCAGTAGAATGTTATTGTAAGATAATTACGGATGAAGAGGAAGGGTTTGCACACACTTATTAAGTTTACATTAATTATTTGAAAAAAGACGGGAAGCAGGGAATATAGGTGTTATTTGATTAGATATAACATGTCTTAGAGGGAATTCCAAGAATACCGTATAGCTGCAGGGAGTAATTTAGAGGTCTGCGTTAAAGTGACAGAAGCAGTGCATCATGGGGGAGTCATGTGACAGGACTGTGAAATGAATTATGAACCTGAAATGATGTTAAGGTGCTTTATCAACTGGAGACTTCAAATAAAACCGTAAACAGCGGTGATTATGGGTGGTTGACATGTATATGCAGTACTTGTGTTTTGAGAAATGTATTTTTCACACTGTATTTATTTATATTAACTGCAAAAAAAATGGTGAAAAACAGTTACAGCAATTAAAATATACCATTTTCCTTATCCTTTAATGTATTATTTACCTACAATCTTGAAAAATGTTCATGTTCCTTGTTAACCATCCATATATATTTGCCTTTGAATCCAGTTACCAAACTCTGTGCCTCTTTATTAATGAATATATGAGTCAAATTTGGGTTCAATAGACTTCAGAGGCTTGCGCATAGCATTCAGATATCTAGTTCGCCTCTCTGATAGCTCTCATCATTTGTTCTTACACTTTAAAGGGAGATGATACACTAAATCATTACTGCATATCTTTTTTTTTTCTGACCTCTTTGTTAACGAGTTTAATTAATTCTCTTAAAATGTTACACACCCAGAGTTCTTTTTAATAATCGTGGGTGTCCTACATTACTCAAACATTTAAGAAACACCCATTCAAGGAGAGAGGACAAAGCAATCAGTGTGTGCTTATTCTCCGATGGAAATGGTTTGGATGCCCTCTGAAAACAGGCTTCTATAACCTCTCAGGTGGGAGAATTGTGTGGACGTTGTGCACAGACAGCAAACGGAGATTAAAATAGATTTCAAATATGACCACAGAACGCAGGTGATTGAGTGGCTTCGTGGGAAGGCAGAGAAATCAGATAAAATATGAAGAAGTCATACTTTAATATGATTTGACCAAGAAAGAAATGCTTAAAGATTGTATCTCTCTTAGCTTTGTATCACACATATACATATATATGGAGAAAGTAAGAAAGCAAAAATGTCTGAATTCCAGAGAAATTAAATTTTGCATACTTTACACATTATTGCTGGAACTGTGTACATAAAGCAAGTATATGGAGAGCAGAAAGTTATTATAAATACATATATTTGGGGGCCATTTGCCATTTCTATTATGAAAAATTATGTATTGCTCTGATTAATATATTCAGATATGCTTTAATTATTCATACATATATTCATGAAACATTCATTTTTTATTTTACAGTGCAGTTGTATTATAATAATGCAGATTATGATGATGATGATTATTATTGTTATTATTATTATTACTATATAATCCCCATCAGAGCTCCTCACATGATGTGAAGAATCTGAGGCAACAGAGTTTCAGTTGATAAGAAAATGATAAAAATTAAATGAACTTGGATACTGTTCAAATTATATGGCCTTAATGTGGTGATTTTTCCCCCCATGGTATCAAATATTGTAGAATATCAAGGTCCTGTAACAAAGTTAGAAATTTTAGTATTGTAACAAGTCAGTATGAACAACTACAGTAGATTTGTATGTTATGGCCAAGCAAAGCGCACGACACTGACAAGGTACGCGATACAGTACGACACCAAACGCCATTTTTTTCAGGTTTCTGCTCCTTGAAGGTTTGTACTACCTCTACACTAAAGACAAAAATGGAATTTGTATCATTTTCATAAATGTCAGTATAACAAATAATTAGTAGTGTCATTTGTCAATATAAACATCGTTTGCATGTTTACTGAATACAATATATGGGGTGGTGCATGGCAGTTGTTAAGGTATTCTGGCTAATTTTATTGTTTTGAAATCATATTTATCAATTCAATCATATTATTAAAGGTTGCTTTGTTGCAGCTAAGGTATTCTGAGCAGCATTTACTCTTGAGTGTTGCTATGTGGCCAGTAAAACCAACTAGATTTGTACATTTCTGAATAAATTGTGAGTGGGTGGTTGCTATACTTGAGTGTTTTTTTAGTATGTTACTATGTGGTTGCTAAGGTATACTGAGGGGTGTTTTAAAGCAACAAGCCTCAAGAAGCCATGGTTTACAGTGATTTTTAGAACAGCTAAGGGATGTTGTTATACCGGGCAAGGTCTCATAAAATAAACACAAAGCAATAAAAATCTATTAATTTATTGGTAACAAATAACCATTTTTCCACCAAGTTCTTCAGCAATGTCTAGCAGCAACGAAGTAATACTGATGTAATAAGGTCAAATGTTTGTTTATAGAGTATTTTACAATGTCTTCGAATGCGGCTCAGCCAATCATAATCAAGAATCGGAATTATCCATTTTACATACTTTATTAAAAACCATTATATTAAAGATTTCTAATCGGATGGTAATGTATACTGAGTGTTTTTAGCATGTTGCTTTGGTGTTCTGGGTGGTTGCTTACTAGCCCAGATCAAAATAGCCCAGCAAATCTCTATAGTATTGTTTAATGTAAGTCTATGGGGTTTTTCCAACAGTATTATCACTCAAAAACTGCCCAGTCATTTAAAAAAATATACTGTAAACCAGTAGGGGACTGCAATAATAATAATGTTTTCGAATAGATTTCTTAAACACACTCTTCTATTGTTCCAGTAAAGTAGTCCTGCCCCAAATTCACGCCATTGGTTGAGTCAGAAGTTAAAATGTCGGGCCGCTCAAACAAACAGAGCAGTGTTTGACAGCGTCACCGTGTTTACCCACTTCACGAAGTCAGCCTACTGGGTTTTAACATCGACAAAATTACACACTTCACCTTTAAATCTTGTGTTTGGCAGAAAAGCAAATGCAGGTCTGGACGTGGGTAGCTTGTGCTTGTATGTTGCCTGTATGACATGTGAGGTTTCTATCTGTGTCTCCGTCAGGCTGGAGAGGAAGATGACAGCTCTCAACCCAGTGCTGTTCCTGCTCTGCGGTGTCTCTGTGTCTCTGACTCTGAAGGTGGTGTCAAAGAGAGGCTCAGGTATGTCCAATTTCTGTCTGTCTCTCTCTCTCTCTCTCTCTCTCTCTCTCTCATTACTCACAGAGGGCTTGCTCTTCGCATTAAAGGGTAACATCAAATATTATTTCACGGCGTAATGAAAGCTGCTATGCTAAACTGCTCTCACCGGCCATGTGACTGTACATATTAAAGCTTAATTTAATGCAGCATTGATTGTGAAGGTCATTCTTGTGTGCTGAGATGGTGAGTGTGTATGTGTGCTTTCCTTTACGCACAAGTAGGCAAGTACATAATCACCAAACTGCACACACACACAAATGGCGAGAAAATGTGTGTGTGTATGGCTGACTTGGAAAAAGAGCATAAAATGTGAGCCAAGACCACCATGTACTCCAGATAATTAGGTGCAGGGAGGTGTTATGAGTTAAGCTGCAGTTTTATGTTCCTCTGGACCAAAATTTGTATTTCCTGATACCTCCGTTTTCTCCTGTAGCATAATGACAACACAAAAAAGAGTTACTCAATTACTGAAACTCAAGGTGTTCACTGAAAATGATCTAAAAATATAAACCCTATTTCAGAGTTGGCTGAAGAAACAGTTATAATGTACAGTCTGATGGAAACTGGCGGGAGTCTTTTGAGGACAATTTCAGCATCTTGCCTTAAAGTCAGCATGAAATGGCATTCGCAACCCATTATACTTCCATAAGTAGCCATATTTCCGATTGAAACAGGATATTCAAGCAGAAAAAAATGTAGAATGGCAGTTGATTTTATCTGTAAGCACTTGATTGGATTGTGAAAAGTGGTCGTTATGTACCAGAATAGAGCCAGATCTGCATGGGTGTTTGCTAAAACAGTTCTTAAATTGCTATTTGGTTTTTGGTTATCCAATTCATTCCAAAATCAAGCAACAAGGAAAGTCAATTCAGAGATGAAATGATGATGAAAGATTCTTTTTTGGAATGGCATTCTTTTTTTTTTCTTTTTGACCCATCAGAATGTTACAACTTCTTCATCTTCATAACTTCAGTGATCTTCTTCACTGGTGTGGACTTCCAATCATTTAGTCCACTTAAACCTCTATCCATTTTTGCAATTGACTGCAAGCTTACATTCAGATCTGCTATTTTAAGAATCTAGCACTAGTTTATGTTGCACTGGTTGTCTTAGACTAAAATTGGCCCATAGTGGCATAGATAAGTTTTAGGTATTGATTCCATTGTTGAAATGTGCTATTCACAGTCAGCCACCATTGATTCATTGCATAAACAAAGGTTACCTGATAACAAAAGGGTTACCAAGATAATGAGGAGTATCTGGTTGGTCATGTGCTCTCAGCTTATAGTGACCACCATATGTAGAATAAAAAAGCTTTAATAAGGCAAATTGCATTTTGGACTACCTGTAGCTTGTTTACTGAAGATGCAGGACAATCACCTAGCAGTGCATTTCAATAGTCCAGTGTAGAGGTCATGAATGCATGAACTAGCTTTCTCATGTTAAATGATATCTCATGTTAGTGTCCATGATTTTAAACTGCTCACTAAAGAAGTAATATTCTTTTCTGCTGGGGTAAAACTTTTAATTTTAAGAAATGTTAAGAATGTGCAATGTTAAGAAAGTAAATAGAGTCCATTTTGATTTCATGGTGACTTTAAAAGTACAGTCATCTTATGAGAACGCACCTCAATGCAGCCTTGAAAAGACACTCGAAATCCACACGTTTGAAATCACTTAAAGCACAGCCTTACAAAGACCTTTGGCCATGGGGGTGTTGAAGGCACACTACTTTAAAGGTTTTTTGAAGGCACTCTAAAATTACAGTGGTGCAGGACTGCCACCGACCGCTGTGTGATGAAAGCATGCCGGATGTAATGTCTAGTACATGTAATCAAGATGTACTCAAATTTGTACATGCTGGCTTTCCTTATAGGAATGTCTGAGGGCAACGTCTGTTGCTTGCTGTTGATTACCAAAAATAATATTTTTGATGCACTCCTCTGTAAAAAAAACCCGAATGGGATTTAGTTTACAGTAATACACAGACTATAGCAACCATTGCAGAGCGTTTTCTCCTTAAAAGAGCAGTGTATCAAAGACAGTCTTAAAATGTGGTTTAAAACCACCCTTGTTCCCTACCATCACAAACATGTAACCAATCTTGTCAACTTGCAGGGTGGGGCTTTTCATATCATTTGCTGTCTGGGATGGCAAAAGGGAACATGGTTTGTGTAACTTTAGCAACACATTATTAGCTGTTTGATAACGTAGTCAAGCCAAAGGCTAATGATATCAATTTTCTTTGTGTTGTAGAGAGCGATACATAAAATGCATTACCATTCTTATTAGGGCTGTCAGTTTAACGCGTTAACTTAATGAATTAGTTATGAAAAAATAACGCAAATAAAACATTTGAATACAGTTAACGCACTGGCCCCTCCCCCAGACCTGTAGGTCACCTTACATTTCACATAGTTGACTGTTGACAAAAATATGATGCAGGGAAACAACTCCATAAATGCAGTTATGCCCTAAAATTCAAGATATTGGGGCAAAATTGCCCCTGTATGCGTTTTTGTCTCATATTTATATCATACCATATCACACACGAGTGCTGATTTTGTCCCGAATATCATGAGTTTAAATGTGATTTATACAACAGTTCAGTAAATAAGAAGTTGATATTGTGTTATATTTTAAACACAATCATGTGTTTTTGCTCAATTTTGCAGAGAACATATGACCTTTTAAGCCATAGCAGAATTGTTTCGCATCTCCGAGCAACACAGCAGTGTTTAGTTTCTGAATGAATCCGCATTTCGAACGAATCGTGTGAACCAATGATTCAAAAGCCCATTTATAAAGAGAGCCGTTTACTTCATTCCTGAATGAATCAGCCGTTTGAACGAATCGAATGAAGACATTTACCGCCACCTGCTGGCAGATTTAGTTTCTTAATTAGAGTATCATTTCATAAAAAAAAATAAAATAATAATAAAAATAAAAACATGAAAGGGATAGTACACACAAAAAAAATCAATTCTGTCATAATTTACTCACCCTCATGTCGTTTCAAACCTTTCTTTTGTGGAACATAAAAGAAGGTATTTTGAAGACTTGGTAACGAAACTGTTTTGGTTTACAATGACTTTCACTGTATGAAAAAAATACTGAGATGTTTCTCAAATTATCTTCTTTTATGTACCATAGTTTATGTTAGGCCGTTGTAGCCTAAATGTTTGTGTGTAATGCATTTTATATTGAATCAAATAAAATATTTCTTTCTAAAGCTACAATTTGTAATGTCTACTTGGTACTTTTTCATTTAACACAAAACTAGCTTTAAATAATCTTTTGTTGGTATTTTCACAGTCCTATTTAATTAGATTCATTAATCGAAACATCATGTAATTAATTAATTAATTAAAATTTTTAATCGACTGTCAGCCCTAGGCTAATTCTTATACATCGACTTGTAGATGACCCCATATGATTTGCTCTTCATTTTCTTTGCAGTCAGTTTGGTTCTAACATATATAGCTGAATGAAGCTAATATTGCCACTTGTTGTTGTTTACCATTTACTACTTCAGTTAACCAAGTGAAATAAAAAATGGAAGAAATTATTTTTACATTTAAACATGTCATTTTGATTATCAAATATGAGTTTTAAGGGATAAAATTGCTGACTTTAAAATAAACATGTTTACTTTTGCTTGGTATCACACAATGTAGTCTTCTCAACTTGACCTTCCATATAACCAGATGTAATATTAGCTCTTTTTTTTTTTTTTTGAATGCACTGGCCATATTCAGACATTTTTTTACTCACGGGTTTGTTAAAAATGTTAATTAATCCACTCGCTGAAGTTGACATGCAACCTAATGATGTCATGTGACACTGTTGCATACAGCATTCTGTTTCACGTACTTAAAAAGATTAGTATGCAGTACAGTACATACTATGCAGTATGCAATACACTAGTTTTCCATTCCAAGCAACTGTTAGGAGCTGCACTCACAGAAGTTTCATCACTTATGCATGACCAGGAGTTCGTCCACCCGGAAAGTAGTCCCACCTCAACGGGACGATTCAGACAATTTCACAACTCAGGTAACACACAGAATTCTAATAACAGCTTTAGTAAAAACACAAGCTTCATATTTTCCAAATTCTTATATGTGGCAATTGACACTGTAATACAGTTCGTAATTCGGAAGAAGGACGAGGAAGTCAGGGGTGGCGGGTAAACTCTTTATTCGCTCCCCCACAACAAAAATCAAACATAAAGTAAGCGCTGCTTCTGCCATGGGACTACTATGAGCCGCCTGGAAAAGCATTTCCCGACGGCTTTTTGGGACTAATAACTGGGTTGTATTTCTTTTTGTCTGGGTATCTTGGGTCACCCGATACAACCTATCTTTTATAAGGGAAAAATAAGGATACGAGAGAGGTTGGTCAGGCTGGAGAAGCTGTCCGTCGATGGTGCGGACCCGGTCATACGCATTTTTAAGCGTCTCATCACGAGACTGCTCCAGCGGAAAGTCATCTAGCTCAGGGGATATAAGCTCCGCCCTCGCTCTCGTTTCCTCTGAGTCAGTCTGCGACGGTCCCGAAACCGCATCCCCAGCCTGTGCCACCGCTTCTCCGTTTCCCAGCCCTGTCTCCCAAGAAGCATCCGCACACTCCTCCAACTCTCTCCCCTCTCCCAGGTCTGCGGGCGCTTTTCTCTCGTCTCTCCCCCAATCACTGGAATTACAAACAGGTGTTAATCATTATTCACTTGACCTCCTTATCACCGCTCGTCTCCAAACCCTTTCTCCCGCTGCAGCCTTTCGCCTTCCCACGCCCCCCTCGCCACAGACACGTTCTCCAAAACCGAAAGTAGCCTGTAATATTCCTATAATGAAATGGGGAAGTGTGTTGAAACCAGCAAGAGAGTTTTATTGGACGGTTTGTATACTCTGCACTGTTCAGCTCAGTGACGCTTCTGACTGTATTGCGGCAGAATCAAAGCT